TATGTTTTAACCATCCCTGCACTTGTGACTACATCCACAATACCTGTGCAAGCCCAAGCAAGACAAAAACCCAGCATGGATGGGTGAGGTAGACAAGAAGTCCCAGCTTATTTGAGGGTCTATTGGCAATTAATAGCTTCTAGAGATGGAGAGTCAGTTTTGTTTTGGTTTTTGGTTTTTATTATTCCAAAGAGAGGCAGTTTTTAACACATTTTTCCATGAATAACTTGAAGCAGGTTACATAAAAATATATATACAACAAAGTTTAAGGGGGTGGTGGGGATAGGAATAAGAAATCAAAGACCAAAGGATTTGCCAACATGGGATCAATTTTGGTAGAATAATGGTTTCCATTAACTCTGTCCTCTCTCTTTATTTTAAAATCCTAATTAGTTTATTGAACTTGCTAACAAAGCATAGAGTGGGGCTTTATTTACAGAAGAGTGGGTGCTGGAAAATCCACACTCAGATATAGATCCTGTGACTTCTTGACAGCCACACAAAATAGTGAGAGGTGCCTCATGGCATTCTTGCCTTATACAGCCTTAGCCCCTCCCCCACATGCAGCTAACATCCACTGATTGGGTGGGAGGGGTAACTGATTACCCTCTTGACTCCTTAATGAGCCTTAATGAGAAGTAGGTTTGACTATACCTTGCTGCTATAGTGGTCAGAGGACACTTCCAGTTAACACTCCACCCCTTTCTCTGCCTCTCACATTCTTTCCACCAACCTCTTCCACAGAGAGGTCCCTGTGCCTTGGAGGGGGTGATAGGTGTGGGATGATCTTCCTCCCATTGTGGCAAGGCACTGAAATTCAAGGTCTCTGCATCATCTGTTTTCCATGGGCTGTTGGCCCATTTCAGTGGGATTCCATCTACTATAAAAACACAAACAGCAAGAAGCAAGAACATCTAAACAGTAGCTTAACCTATGGGCATAAACACAAATGCTTGGATGGTACTTTAGCATCACATCCATCTAAGAAAACAACTGCAGTGGCTTCTCCATGTGACGGAGTTGGTCTGGTACTGTACCAGTTGTGTGTTACACCTCTAGGAATGAGCATTATATCCAACCAAAAATTTGCTGGTTGTACATACACTAGACTCGCCACTATTGCACTAACTGGAACATCTTTTTTGGCATGTTGATAGCACAGCATGTGGGGTCTGTCAGTGAGCAGAATTATAGGGGATAGTTCTCCCCTAGCCATCTGCATGTCACCTTCTGGCACTATGAAAGGCACCCATCCAGTGGCAGGGAGTTTCCAGCTTAGTCTAATCATGATTTCTCCCTCTCCCAAGCTCACGTCATGCAGTGTCTTGAGCAATAGGATTTTGCCATCCACTTGTGGCATACAACCAACAACATTGGCAGTGGCCTTTATTGTTTTGGGGACCTCTAAGGCCCCTCTGGCCAACAGCTCATAGAGGGGCGGGCCAGTTACATTTCTGTTAGAGTAGAAAGTCGGGGAAGGCCTCCCTGAAGATGCTTGATAGAGCCTTCACTGGGAAAGAACCAGTAAGCTAACCACCTGAAGAAGACTAGTCAGAGCTGAGGGCTAGACAAGTGGAAAAATTAGCTTGGTGTATTTGAGCAACTGAGGATGCAGGCTAAGACCAAACTAGAGTTGAATAAAGGGAAGAGTCTGGGAGAAGTAAATAGTACAAGATTAGGTTTAGAGAAGTAGGCAGAGGGACAGCAAGATGACTCAATGAATAAATGCTGTGGCTTGACTTTAGTCTCCAGGAACCAAAGGTGGAAGGAGAACCAATTCCCACAAGTTGTCTTCTGACCCCAACTTGTTCACAGTAGCGGGTTCAGACCCATGCGCATAAATATACATACATACAAATTAAATAAATAAATGTAATTTTTCTTTCTTTGATTTATTTTTTATGGGGCTTTTGGCTACTCTACCCCCCCCCCCAGAGGTAAGCCTAAAATCTTTTAAGGATTAGATAAAAGCTCCCAAATATTTTCGACATTTTTAGCCTTTGGAACAGAGTATGTTGCTAAGAGGCCCAAGGACATTAGGAGTTTTAGCCAAGAAGCTGGCTACTTTTCTTTGGGATCTTTCTACACTAACTGCCTAGCCAATTCCTACCTTTTATTCTTATCACACCATCCTCTGAAGAGGTTACCCAAATTGCCAATATGGAATCAGGACACACCACTCTGGCTTCTTCCATGCTGAACAGGGATGCAGGGTGAGGCAACTGGAGTACCCCTTCAATGGGTCTATATAAAAGACTCCAAAATTGCATAACCCTTATCTTGAGGGGGAAAAGAAAGTCTTTGAATGTTGAATAAGAGATGTGCAGGAGAAGTAAAAGCAAGAATAATTAGCTTTAAAGTTCTAGACAGGGAGGTAGAAAAAAGTCAGAACAGGGCAATTTTCAAATGTTTATATGAGAGTTCATTGGAATTTCTTGACAAGGGCTTCCAAAAGCATCCCTCTGTTGGGTTCCTCCTTTTTCTTTTGTCTTCCAAGGCTGGACTCTAGAGTGATGGATTCAGGATTTGCTTTCAGGTATTTTGATAGCTGTTAGAGTGGTTAGAATCAGTGTCAGTTCCCTCTCAAAGGCTTCTAGATAGGAGGAGAAAACAAATTTATTCATCATTTTAGAACAGCAGCTGATTGCCTCCCTTAACTACAGGTGGGCACTACAGTATTGGAGACCAAGATTTGAAGTCTTACATCTGAGCAGCACTTTCTGGTTAGGAACAAAATCATCAATGAGAAATAATTGTCTTAATAACTTACTATACAAACTTAAGCCTAATGTCTGGGAAGTGTAATCCCTTGATCTCTTAAATATACCGATGTCTTTACTCTTTGGTTATACTTTCCTTTTGGGTGCTTAAGACCATACAGGTGGCCCAAATAAATCAATTTATTTTTATACTTAAGGCCATTTGAGGATCTGTTCCTCGGGTCACATGGGCTTGGGAGGAGCTCCTGGCTCCTTTCTTTTACCAGTTCCATCTATGTGAAGATACATCAAAGGTCCTGCTCAACCATGTCTGGCTTCACTTGGAAGCATGAATGAGATGTTTCCTCTGAGTTGACCCTCTTCCTGTAGACTGGACACTGGTTCAAGTGCATCTGATGGGGTCTCCATGGCCTCTCTGAACAAGAGGACAGGTGACTCACCACAGTTACAGGACACTTTGAGAGATGTTCTGTAGTCCCCTGGAACTTAGTTGACCTTGGAGGGCTGTCCTTTAAGTCCCTCTGACCACATTAGTTTAGGCCTCAAACCATGGCTGTTAAACATCCAATAAGGTTAGTTCCACCAGTCTAGTGCTTTTAATTATGTGCTATGTAGATAAGGCTTGGTTAGAAAACCAAATATTCTCAGATAAACCTGGACTAGATATATATTTTGTTCATTAAACTAAACTATGACCATAGACATTTTATGATTATGTGTATATTTTTGTCTCATCCTTTATATATCATAACAGACCTAAACAGACCTTCATCACTTGGTTAGACTTTTCCATTTTTTCTATTTTGGAAAATATCTCCATTCCCATATCCTTTTAACATCTTTTACATTCTCATTCTCTTTTTTTAATAATTATGAGACATAATAACATAAACAAATAAATTTTCCATCTGTTGTGAGAATTCTTTTCTTTGGGATACTAAGCAATGCTTATTCCCTTTTAAGGTTCTAGTGTCAAGCCAATATTTGATTAAAGGTTTACTGGGGATCCAATGAATTTACTGAGGTTACTTACCAAAATAACTGAGGGGTTGCTGATGTGTGAATG